CGAACACCATGCGAAAGCCATGCTTGTTCAACAGAGAGCCAGACACAAGATTCTTCCTCAGCTCAGGAACATACATCACGTTGTTCAACCTCAGTTCCTTCCCGGAAGTCATCTTCAGAACCACCTTGCCCATGCCTTCCACAGCAGACTGAGCAGAGTTTCACATCCACACCTTTTCACCATCAACGGTCTCAAAGGTGTTGAACATCTCTCGGTTGCAACACAAGTGCCTGGTTGCACCGGTATCAATGAACCATTCACGAGGGTTTGAGCCCACGAGGTTCACTTCGGTCACCATAGCCGAAAGGCTAATCTCGACCTCCTTCTGACTGCTATCTCCAACAACATTGGCTTCAGAACTCTTGTTCTTTTTCCTTGGAGCCTTGCATTCAGATGCTCTGTGGCCATGCTTGCCACAATTGTAGCATTCACCAGGAAACTTGTTCTTGGTAACGCCACCTTTCGGACCTAGCTTTCGCTTGTCCTTTTTGTTCCTCTTGGAGCTCTTACCGTGCTCCACAACATTGGCCTTAGCGCCAACAACGATAGGAGCCTTCCTATCATTCGTCCTGTTCCCTTCCTCAATCCTGAGTCGCTGGATCAGGTCCTCCAGATTCATCTCCTTTCGCTTATGCTTAAGGTAGTTCTTGAAGTCCTTCCATCCTGGAGGCAACAAATGGATCACAGATCCCACTTGGAAGGCTTCACTTAGCACCATGCCCTCGTCACGGATCTCATCAAAGATTAATTGCAAATCTTCTACCTGACTTAGCACGGTCTTTGAATCAACCATTTTGAAGTCGAGGAATCGGCCAACTACAAATTTCTTTGAGCCGGCATCCTCACTTCGGTATTTATGATCCAAAGCTTCCCACAACGCTTTTGATGTGCTTATCTTTCGATATACATCATATAGCGTGTCACACAATCCATTCAGGATGTAGTTTCGGCAAAGGAAGTCCGAATCCTTCCAATAGCCAACCGCCATCACGGATTGTGCATATTGTTCCTTCAACTCGGGAACACTCTCGGACAAGAACCTTGCCAGGCCGAGAGTTGCTAGGTAGAACAACATCTTCTGTTGCCACCTCTTGAAGTTCGAACCAACACCGGTGAACTTCTCCGGCTTTTCAGCCGAACCACTCGGTACCGAAGGTACCCGAGACATGGGAATATATCCCTCAGTGCTCCCACCATCTTGTAAACCAACGTTCACTGGTGTAGCTTGGGAATTAGCAACATTGTTGACATTCCCTCCACTGTTATCCGCAACAACGTTATTGTTGCCGTTTCTTCCATTGTTGTTCGCAACAACATTATCCTCCCCATCAATTGGCAGTACGGGATGCTCCATTTTCTTCAAGGAAATTCGGAGAAGACCACCAACGGGAAACAAAAAATAAGGTTTTAAGACTGTTGGTACCATTGGTAGGAAAACAAATAATAATCAAATAAAATTGACTATTATTTTCTGGAAAGAAGGGAAGAAAAGATGAAGAAAAGTGGCTAGTGTTTGGTGTTGGGTTTTTGCAAGAGTCAAGTGAGCACTCTTTCCTTAAAACCTTATTTGCCACCTCCCAAAGATGCTAGGAGCGTTGTGGCCTAGGCTTCCCAGGATAAAACTTGCTAATGATTCAATGTTTGAGCACTCAAACAAGGAATCCGGCGAGCAAGACAATGGCTATGAACACAGTAGGCCAAGAAAGGGTAGAAGCAGAGAGGTTTTGAAGCTGAAAAACGAACTTTCGTATTCTATGTTTCTGTGTGTAAAACTCTACTGCCTCTACCCTCTCTTATATAGGGTTGAAGGAGCCAATAGCCTTTATTATGGCAATTAAAAATGACATTAAAGCTGCCTTCCAACAGCTATAACAGCAGGCCACTACCTGGGAATTGAATTCAGAATTCAAAATTGAAATTAATAGACAATTAATTCCGTAACAGATGAATTCAATCCCCTCAACAGTCAGAACTTTCGGGTTCCTGACCGTTAGCGTACAGGGTTCGGTCTCAACTTTCGACCTCATCCAGTTTCGGCCCTTGCACCTCTCGTGGACGCTGTTGCACGAGAGTTGTGCTCTCGGTTTCAACTTTCGACCTCATCCAGTTTCGGCCCTTGCACCTCTCGTGTTGCACGAGAGTTGTGCTCTCGGTGCACCACTACACGAGAGTAGGTGCAACACGTACAGGGTTCGGTCTCAACTTTCGACCTCATCCAGTTTCGGCCCTTGCACCTCTCGTGGACGCTGTTGCACGAGAGTTGTGCTCTCGGTTTCAACTTTCGACCTCATCCAGTTTCGGCCCTTGCACCTCTCGTGTTGCACGAGAGTTGTGCTCTCGGTGCACCACTACACGAGAGTAGGTGGCTGTTGCACGAGAGTTGTGCTCTCGGTGCACCAAGTGGAAAATGATACCGAAGTTTGGCATAACTTAGCCCGCAAGGCCAGCCAATTTCCGGACGACATTCGTGCCCCCAGGTGCCGGCGCACACGAGCTCGGGCTTGAATCAAGCCTTTTTCAAGCTCTGCTAGTTGGAATTTGATTTGAACCCCCCCCCCCCCCCCCCCCCCCGCGCGAGAGAGCCTCTATGCTATACAATTCTACAAGCTTCAAAAGAGCTCTTGTATATAAGGGGGGAAAATCTTCATTCCAAAGCAATGTGGGACAAAAAGCTCACTTTTTCCCTTCATTTTCCAACTCAAATGGGTCTACTTTGAGAATCAATATCTCATTCACCCATTATCCGTTTTGAGCGTACAATATATCGATCTCTACGTCTCACTACGAAGAATCCGAATCCACTTTAACCCGACCCAAATCGGAAGTGGACCCCACTGATAATTGTACCACAAAATAGCCACTTAACATGCCATTTTATGCCATTTTAAGCTATTTTTTCCAACATTATGTTGGCAGAATGATTTTACACGCCATTTTGAAACTCATAAACCAAACTACTACTTTTCTCTCTACTCTCCTTGATTTCAAAAGAGAAAATTTGTTTGCCAACATAATTCCGTAAAACATCGGAGTGCTCAACTTGTGTTCTAGTTCGCCGGGCTTTGGGTTGGAGTGCTCGAACGCCAAAGTCGTAGTCCGTTTTATCCTGGGAGACTGACGCCGCAACGATCCTAGCACCCTCGGGAGGTGGCGAATCGGTTTTAAGGAGAGTGTGTGTACACACGACTCGGGCTTCATCTGCTTCTTCTTATTTCTTCGCGTTGGGTTAAAACCTCAGGTTAGAAATCCGTATCTTGTTTATTTTTTGTTCTTGGTTTCAGACCAAGTGGTGGGATTAATCTCGAATAGATTAAATCCTTGTACTAGTTTCGTACTAGTTGTGGTGGGATCAATTTCGTGGAAATTAAGTCCCGTGTACTAGTTTCGTACTAGTTGTGGTGGGATTATTTTGATAAAATAAATCCCTATTTGGTTAATATATATATTGTATATATATGATTTTTGGTTTCGTACCAAAATTGGTTGGAATTAATTTTGTATAAATTAAATTCCATTTTTCAGGCCAAATTAAATTCCATTTTTCAGGCCAAATGTATAAATTAAATTCCATTTTGTATAAAGTCCTGTGTATCGATTTATTCACCAATTTTCAACAATTAGTACATAATAATAATTAACAAAAATGTATATGGATACGCATTTTTTGTTGTCTCACCATGTTTTCATTGAAAAACCATTCTCTCATAAACTAAACACTATCAAATTCTTTTCCCTCAAATTTTAAGAATTTCAATTCCAAAGAATTCATCATTTTCTATCCAACCAAACACCCTAATATAGTGGCAAAGCAGCCGTCTGTTTCACTATTAGGTTTATGTTATCCTATCACAAGTCATAAACCTTCTATTTCATACGCAATGTCATCTATTGTAACATATTAAAACGCAAGCTATGAAAACTTCATTCTTGCGTTTATATGTCTTTTTCATTCTCGAAGCATGCTGCATTATTTATATACCCAGCCCATAAAAATAAAATAAAATAATGTGGTCATTAATTAAAAAATAATAATTAAATACGTCAAACGCTATCGTAATATCCCTTCATGAAGTCGTTAGGGAAAAAATCAAAATGTCCATTAGAAGGTGACATACCGAAAAAATATATAAAAGTTTAGCTGTTTGTTACTTTTGGTTCCACAAATTTGATATCATTTCTATTATTGGTGCATAAATATGAAAATTCCTATGGATATCTTCTGTTTTTTTTTTTTTTTCGAGTCTTCTAGCTAGTGAGAAATTTGGTGGAATTGCATCTGTCACGTGACTTGCGAGAGTGACAACAAATTATGTGTAAAAATCTAGCTTTTTATAACATGTTATGTGAATGAACATTGTTTGTGATAATCATACTAAAAGTTATGCTTTTGATTCTTGTCACACAAGTTCTTTTAGTGTGATTTACTTTTTCCGTGTATAATTTGTACGCTATTACGCAAGAGTCAAGTTTAGGCCATGGATATTCTTGTTTTCTATGTATAGTTTGCATGTTATTATACAAGAGCGAAGTTTAGCCCGTGGATACTTTTGTTTCCTATGCATAGTTTGCAGGCTAGCTATTACACAAGACAAAGTTTAGCCATTGAATATTATAATCTTGTTTCTTGTGCATAGTTTACAGGTTATTACACAAGAGCGAAGAAGTTTACCAATAGATACTCTTGTGACCAATGTATTGATTAATTATTGTTCGTGTTGGTTCAGTTGTTGCACTTAGCTTGTAGTCCATCCATCCCTTTCATGATATGATATATACGATGATGTTTGGATTTCTTCTTCCATTGACAGTTACATTTCCTTAACGTTTCAACTCCCTCAGCTCCCACTTCAACATCGATCGATATCCCCTTATAATACAATCCAATCCTCAACGTACCTACACAACCACCGTTTGTATATACAAACTCCTCATTAATTCATATATAAGAGATCAGAACACTACACATGTTGAGAGTTGTTATTAGGTGGCCGGGTGCAACAATGGGGGAGAAGGTTTCGTGGTACTGCGCGGCGACGGTGCTGCTTCTGTGGTGCTTTGCAGGCGGATGGGGTACGACTGAGAGTTCGGCGGACGGCGGCGAGCAGATGATGATGATTGGGAGAGTTGTGGTGCCGCCGTTTGAGAGGCGGTGCGAGGAGATCTACGTTGTACGCGAGGGGGAGACGTTGCAGACAATAAGCGAGAAGTGCGGAGACCCTTTCATTGTGGAAGAGAATCCTCACATTAATGATCCTGATGATGTTTTCCCTGGCTTAGTTATCAAGATTACACCCTTCATTTATACCTAGCTAGATCAGAAGACAACATTTTCTTTTCTTTCTATCTTGTGTTTAATGACAAATTATTGTATGGAACATGAGCTCAGTCCAAATTGACGTTATTTTTATGTTTAAAAAAATAGGCTAAACTGTAATCATGCACTATGAATCATTCTAAATTATTCATGCCGCATCATAATCTTTAATAAGTGATATTTCAAGTCATAAATCAAATTTTGTTTTTCACCTAGTATTTTTTGTAGATTATCCGGTAATCCTGATGATATGGCGCGATAATAAGCTGATGTGGCAATATTTCTCAATTTATGTAAGCATTTTTAATTTAAAAAAAAAAAAAAAAAAACGGTCGAGAGTGCTACCTTCCCCGACCTCTCTTTCGTCTCTCTTTCATCTTCCCCTCTCTCTTGGTCGACGGCAAAGGCAAGAAGCAACGAGCAGCTCCCTTCTCCGGTGACGACGAGCTAGGTAATAGTGGCGGAGGTTTCTCCCAGCGAACCTTTCCTTCCCCTTCTCCCTGTTTCCGGCAAAAGCAGACTGACGGGTCGGCGGTGGCGTGATGCAGTCGAGACCTCGCCGAGTGTGTTATTATAATGAACATTCTGATAAGCTAAAAAAAAAAATTGATATGAATTTGACAACAAATATAAATGAAGTTTACATTTTGAGTTCACATGCATATCCTATTAATTTCAAAAATAAAGTAGGTATAATTTTATTTAATCAAAGCTTATTGATTGAAAAGTATTGCAAACTATGAAAACAATTGGATTAACTTTATAATCTATATCTATATATTATTAATAATAATAATAAAATCCTCCATTTTAACTTCTCGCCCACAACAGTCTTATACTATTAAAGTTTGCAGTAAAAAAAGAAAAATAGAAAAGAATCCATAATTCAAGAAATCATAATTTTCTAAAATTATTTAGACGCGTTATTTTACTAATTATCTAATTAATATGACTATAAGGTAGATTTAGCAAAAAAAAAATGAAAAAGGGTAGGATATTAATAATTTAGATTAAAATTAAGGTCGTTATTTTACTATTAATCTAATTAATTAATATTATTATTTAAAAAAATTCTCCTTTTTAATTTTCCGCCCAAACACTTAATAATAATAAGATTAGCATTAATTTGAAAAGTCATAATGTTTTAAAATTATTTCTACACATTATTTTACTATTAATCTAATGAATATGAATATAAGGAATATTTTATTTAAAAAAAAAAAAAAAAAGAATCGGTTATTTATAAATTAGATTAAAATTACAGGTCGTTATTTTAATATTGTTGGTTTGTACAATCTTGATGGCTGCTCGGCAGGCCAACACTACCGAAAAGAAAGTAAAGACCTTTTATGAGATAGTGAAGATAAAGATGAATCGATAGAGCTAGAGAGAATAATGCGGTGTTATTTCTCTAGGGTTTTGGCCCTCGAAGTGCAGACCAAAAGTCCTTTACATGATGATCCCGAGGGATATTTATACATAGATGCGGAGTTCGCATATGGTAAGTAGGGATGACGCAAAGCCTAACCTAATGGGGGAATAGGGCTGACGTGCTGTCAACTTACTGCCTTTTCCGTCTGAACTAACTAAGGAAGTTGCCTAATGTGCGAAGATTGCTTCCGTAGAATCCGCTTGACGCGTTACTAGGGTGTGCCCGGTCAGGAATGGTCCCGACTGCGCGGAGAGCTTTCCTAGGTACTTGCCCTTAGATAATGACATCCCGTCTGTAGGGCCTGGTTGGCCAACCAGGTCCCGAGAAAGTGTTCGATCATAGGCGCGCCGCTCGGCGTAACTGGTCGTCTAACCGTGTTTCTTCTGTGAACCCGTCCGGGGATACGCCGGCCGGTGGGTTGGCCGATTAGGAGCACTCGGCGTCTACCGCAAGGCGCTTCGCATCATGGCTGGGAAGTCCTTGGCGATCTTCCCCCTGCTAAGTAGTGAATCGTCTCTAAGTCTGGCTGCCTTGTCTGACCTTCCATCTAGGCGGCAGATTTGGGGTATCTATCAAATATTAATCTAATAAATATAATGAAGACTTTTTGCGAAAAAATTGGAAAAGAATCAGTTATTAATAATCTATATATACTATTATTAAAAATAAAATCATCCTTTTTAACTTCCCGTCCGAACACTTAATAATAATAAGGTTAGTAGTAAAAAAGGAAAAATGGAAAAGAATTCGTAATTCGAGAAGACATAATGTTCTAAAATTATTTGTACGCGTTATTTTAGAGTTACTACCCAAAATGATCCTCCGACTATTAACTAATACTCGATTTTGTCTCGAAGAATTAAACGCACTCAATTTAGTCCTCTTAATTTTCAAACGGTACCCAATGTAGTCCTCCGTTAAAATTGTCATCTATATACCGTTATTTTGAAAGGTATAAGCATCATTTTGGTTGATAAAGCACATTCCTTTCACCGACTTAGCTCTAGGTACCTTCCACCCCTACACCACCGTAGCACCTTCGCTCTAACAGTCCTCTCTGCTGCCCCCTCCGCCAATTTTTTTTATTTTTTTTATTTTTGAGAATATCCTCCGCCAATTATTATCAGGATATTAGAAGAGTTGAACAGACTCTTGGACCACTTGTAAAGGGGTAACACCTCTTTCCTCTGCTACAACATATCTACTTTTTTTTTTTTCATCAATTCAAAATCCTTGATGTAAGTCTCCAACAGAAGACTATGGATATTCTCAATGGAGGTCTAGAATCCATAAAATGCACGCGCCTCCGTAATCTAGACCTCCTTCATCAACCGTCCAGCAAGATTCTCCAAAACGATGTCGTCGGAGGCGGCAAAAAAGGCAAGTACGTGTTTAATAAAGTGTTTCAATTCTCAGAGGTTAGGGCTTCCCACTGACGGAGATCCTGAGAGAGATCGACCTCCTCCACCGTCCAGAAAGACGCAACAGCTTTCTTATACATCACCCAGATTTGCGGGTACTCAATCGGGAACATACAGAATCGGTCTGGATTGGGGGCGAGAAGAGGCTCTTCCGGAATCGAAGGCATTTTCTTCAGCGAAATTGGATCTAGGGATTGCTAGGGCTTTGAGACAATGAAGAAGAGAAGAGATGGTTTTTTTTTTTTCTTCTTGATTAAAGTTGAGATCTTTTAATTCTTCTTTTTCTTGATTAAAGCTAAGATCTTTGTAAGTTTTCCTCTTTAATGATTTCATATTCTATTCCCCCATATTTTTTTTTCTGTAATTGGGTTGTTTGAATTTTGAGTGAACCTGGATTGATTGAGCTTTAGCTTAATAGCTTTCCAAGAGGCTGAGGGTTACTGGTTTTGTTTTCATGTGATGAAGATGATGAAGAAATCCCACTAAAATGACGCTTATGTCCTTAAATTAACGGTAGATAGACGGCAATTGTAACGGAGGATCACATTATGTGCGATTTTAAAAGTAAGAGGACTAAATTGGTTATGTTTAATTTTTTGAGCCAAAATCGAGTATTAGCTAGTAGTCAGATGACCAAAATGGGTATTTATTAATCTAATGAATATGAATATAAGGATGATTGTGCAAAAAAAAAAAAAAAAAAAAAAAAAAAAAGAGGAAAAGAATATGTTATTAATAATTGGAATAAGGTTCAAAATTGGGCATTGAACGAAATGTGAAATGTAATTTGGCCACTGAAGAAAAATAAAGTGCAATTAGGCTACTCAACACTTCAAATGTATGCAATTTCACCTAATAGCAGGTTAACACTCCATCTAACAGGTTGCATGTTGACATGGACGATAACTTGACATTTTTTTTTTTATAAATTTTCTTTTTATTTCTTCATTTTATTTTTGAAAACCCTTTTTGTAATACCCGGTTTTCTTTAATTTTGTTCCTTCAGACGCGATTTTTTTTCTTCCATCCGATCTAACACTTTTTCCTTCATATTGCTTTAATCCATTATTATTATTATTATTATTATTATTATTATTATTATATAAAATAATATATACTATGATGAGAATAAATGTTAAGTAATTTTTGGTACGACAAATTGGGTACATAATTTTACAAATTTTAAATTATTAAATTAGTAAACATTTTGAAAAAATATATATATGTTGTAAAGTGAGATGCCCGTTGGCCATTGGCTCCTAACCGATGAACTGATTAACATTGCAAGTAAGGTGTAAAGAGAGAAGGGAGAATGATAGACAATACAACATACGTAAGGGGTAATCTCCATTTCCTTAGCTTCCAAACAATACAACATATGTAAGGATATATACAATACAAACATAACGGATACAATAATGACATGCTTAATTACTGGACTGTTACGTCCGTTACATAATAATGTCCACTAAGTATATATATTTATAACACTCCCCATTGGACATTATTTATCCACAGTCTTGCTTCGTTAAAAACTTGCTAGGAAAACCCTGTGGGAAAAACCTAAACAAGAAAAGAGTACAAGGTATATGGATATGGTATATTTGAATACATTCATGCCTCGTTAAAAACTTCACTAGGAAAACCACGTGGGAAAAAACCTAGTTGAAGAAAAGAGTACATGTATTTGAAAAATCGTATATTATACTGATTGCCTCGTTAAAAACCTTAACTTAAGAAAACCTCGTGGAAAAAACTTAGTTAAGGGAAAAAGAGTACAACCATAATCCTTCAAGGCTTAATCTTCAGGATTTTGGGATTTGTCTATTTAAGTATTTATATACAACTCCCCCATTAATATATCATACCCATACCTCGTTAAAAACCATATGGTATGCTGCAAAAAGTATAACTATTAGTCATTTTTTAAGACCCAATCTACATGATTGACTTGAGTGAATGTACTTCTCGTCTCCCCCTGAAGATAACAATCTTCAAATTCTACATTGCCTGTAAAATCATTGTTTCTAAAGGGTGTAGAGATGGGATATGGTACAATTTTCAGGATTGTCATTAGAATTTATCATATTTTCTCATGATCATCTGGACCAATAAAATTATTTATAGTTTATATTTTGTTGC